TCATTCGCAGAGGCGTCAATGGGAATGATTGGTCGAGCACCTCGAAGAACAGTAGCTGGCCTTCTGCAACACAACCTATGGGTGTGGTTCATACAGGCTGATGGAATGTAAACTTATTCACCTGTCGGAAGAAATAAAGTACAAAATATCGGTACCGAAACGTGAGAAGGCACGAGGACCTGACGGTCTTTATCAATTCCTCTTCAAAGAAGACAGAAAATCCCTGGTGCCTTATCTAAAAAAGCTTATTAGTTTCATATGGAGAGGTGGAATCCCTGCAGAATGGAGCGTGTCAACAGTTATTGCTATCTTCAAAAAGGTAGGCGTGCGCTGTGTGTAAACCACCGTGACATCAGCCTGGAAGCTGTGGCATCGAAGTTCTTATCTTTCGAAGGTTGACTGAACACGGAGAAGCAGATCTGTGAAAACGAAGCTGGGGTGCAAGCGGATACGTCGATAACATTTTCACCTTGCGACAGATTCTGGAACAGTGACACTTTATTGCACCCAACAGTGGTGGTCTTCTCTGACTTGAACACTGACTTTGACTCTGTGGATCTCTGGGCACTATGGCAGTCTGTGGAGCAAAAGTGTCTCCCATAAATTCTTGACTTATCTTGAGGCGGTGTACGCCAACTCCCGCGGACATCTGAAAATCTGCAGGAAGTGCTTGCCCAAGTTCAGCACACCGTGTGTGAGTCATTTCTATCCTGTTTCACGTTTCCTCTTCAACTTTGTCGTTGTTTGTTCATGCAAAACCCACTCGCTGTCCTAACCGCACACTATTAGCTGGTTTATGCTGTCTGGAAGAACGCAGACCTGCCAACGTTATAACGAACGACAACGTAGCGTGCCTGGAACGGATTCTCGCTCTCTACCCAGTTTCATCCTTCGGGGTTTCGGTACTCGAATAGATGGGTGTGTGTTTTGACTGTTGGTTCAGGCAGCCGATACTAGCTTCATAATCAGGCATCATGTGCCCCAAGGCTCTGGAAAAGAAGGCTCATCATGTGGGGGGAACCAGTATTCCCCGTATCCGTACAGACGATGGTCCCAAAAGGCTTGGGTAGTGTGCAATGCTCCTTGATGACGGCACGCACCCCTTCGGTCGTTCAGGTTGTTTGTTCGATCAAGGAGCTTATTGAAAGTGGTCATCCGGGTCTTCTCACGACTTTGCTACATCTCATGCGTAATGATTAGGGAATCATTCTCGGGGAGTAGTTAGGTTAAAAGTTTGCCGCACTGGGGAGGGAGGACAAGCAATTTACTGTGGTACATTTCACTTAATCACTGATGAGAGAGACATGAGAAAATTGAGACTCATAGAAAACTCGCTGATAGCGTTTTCCGAATCAACTGATGATTTTCTCCATAAAACACACTGCAAAAACACCAAACCCCAAAGTTTTCACACCCACGCTACGCGCAGTGCAGTTGCTGATAGCAGGAAGCTTGTGAAAGCATTCTGCGTGAGAAATTCGTGATAGGCACGCTAAAGCACCACATAGTGTGTAGTCTGAAAATTAATGTGTCGGTGCGAAACGAATGAACTAGAATGTTCCGTTAAGACAAACGTCCGTGAAGGTTGACGGCACATCGGACGGGAGTATCTCGTTGGACTCGAACGTCCCTTTCAGACCGAGAGACTCCAGGATTTCAGCTAACCACTGCGCTAACGAGTGATACAGTGGCCGGTTTTAATGGAACAGCTTTGTGTCCGTCAGATGGTTTATAGAGTTCGCATTGAGTGTTGTTGAATGGATTACATTATTTTGTTTTGATCGGTGAAGCGGTCCCGATATCGACCTTGTTGTGGATATAGTTTCCAGCGATCCTTCTGTGAAATTAGGGTTTTCTGGCTATGGTAGTGGTGATCCTGTCAATATAGTTGGGTTTGCCCATGATACAGGCTACATTATCCGGTTCGACCAACAGGATTTCTCCCTGTGGCAATGCCCCTAGGCAATCTACACACATGCATCGTTGCTTCGATATTTCTGAAAAGGATCGACGTGGTATGCATTCAATGCTTGGCGTCGAAATCACTGAAGGGACTGAGCTTGTCAAATTACTAACCTGAACCTTCAAACCGTGATTCAGTGCAGGACAGATTCTTCTTATTACTGACAGAACAGAACTTCGGACAGAACGACAATACTTCTACCCTCGTACGGCTGAAAATAAGTGAAGACTGACCAAGAACCTACCTTTCCGGTTTCCTTAAGTTCTTGTCGTTTTCAAACCACTCAGGAGCTTGTTACTTTTTTCATTTACCTGTTTTACCACGTCTTATAAGAACTTGGCGAATAGTTTTCAGTCAGGAAGTGACAACACTTTAATCTTGAATCTTAATCGGACCACTTGTATGGCCTAGTCATTCCTAGCATATTTCTGAAGCGATCTGAGCACTTTGCCACTGAGGTACTTCATTGCCCAACCGGCGTTCGGCGAATGCTGGACCATGGTTGGCTGATGGGTCCACAATTGCGACCACTCAGCTCGCCTAGATGCTGGACCGACAAGTGGCCCAGACTTCTGTCCGATTGCTTGCGGGCTATGCTTCTTGACCGTAACTGCGCCCAACTGTGAATTCTGTAGCGGTTTCGGAGTTCGATTCCGCCTAACACTACAAGCTCCTCTTCTGAAAGTGCGCACAATGACCGATTATTTCCGGTTGTCTGGAACAGTCTTTTCCCGGATGCAGGCAAACAGGTCCGATAAGCGCTAACTGACAACTTCACTCTCATCTTTGAACAATGTGGATGGGGAGACATACGGACCATGAGTTCGATGGCGCTTGAGAGGACACTTGCACTCGTGAACCTACGAGACCGTAGGCGTTCATGTTGACCGTCCAAGGTTCTACTTCAGTTATATGCTCCAATTGTGTAGAAGTGTGTGACTACGATAATTGCGGTTAGAAGTATATGCCTAACTGTTGCGATGTTTCCCTCTATTCAAGATGGCCGGGCCACTTAGATCGTTGGTAGCTTCGCTTACAGGTGGTTTCCCGGGACCGGTCGCTCGGACCAACTCTTCAGGCGTTGCCGGGTTTTTGGGTTTCTTTGCTCATTTTCACTCGAGGTCTGCTATTTCTTCGGGTCGAACGATGCTCGGGGTCAGCGGGCACATTCCTCCCAGATTCCAAAAGTACAACTTCTGATATCCAATGCTTAAGTGAGTTTGATAGCAGTATGCAACATGCACAACTCCCAGCACTGTGCGAAAAACGGGCGATCCCGTTCCAGCATGAATTCACATCTGATGGTGGAGCAGTTGGAACAGACTTCAGAAGACGGATATGGCATGTGTAAGTATACAGTCCATATTTCCGATCCCACGGGCGTAAGAAGCTTAGAAAGAGTCCTCCATGATCACATCGATGATGTCTAACTCATTAGCTGATACGAGGTAGTCTTGTTTCACACCGGGTTCGAGTTGGCTCGGTACTTAAGGTGTGATCTTGTTGACCGGATGGTTCGTGGTTGGAACTCAATCCCGGCAGCTCAATCGCTCCCGTCTAGGCTTCGGCAGTATCGGTATCCCAGCCCTGGAGCTTTCGGCTTACACTGCAGCCGAGTGTGTCGTCTAATATCATAGTCTACAGTGAACTTGGGTAAGGACTTATCCTAGCACCTTCCATGTCCACGGCAGTTGGTCTGTGGTGGTTCAAGGAGAGTTGGAAACTTTTGTGGAACGCCGCGATGGAGGAGCAACAAAATTAAGGGTTGTTTTCAATGCAATGCTTGCTGGTGGAATGGGAGGAACATCGGTGAAGATAGTTGGTAATCTTCGGTTGCTCAGGCCGATTAAATAGGGCTGTTTGATATACTCCACTTGGATTTGTAAGTGTAGAATCCAATCCACAAGTCAGTTGGATGTTCCCTTTATTGTCTCACTATCCCAGCCCTCGTGCTCCCTTCTGGTGGCATAGTAGCTAGGCACCGAAAGGGTGTTACAGCTGAACGCTTATTGTTATCTAGATTCCGTCTCATTCAATCCATTGAGAAATTCAAGGGGTGCAAAGAATGAGTATCACCTGCTCTCAGGGGAACTTCCGGAGGCTCCCTATACACTCACGCACCCACAAATATGCGAATACGAAAAGCGCATTATACGAACTTGAGATGCAGGTCATGTTTCACATGAGTGTTAAAAAGAACGAACTGTTTGACGATCGAGCGCTTCCTTGAAGTATAAGAACACCAAGATTCGAGGGGACCTATGTGCATATCGTTGGCGGAGTTCAAAAGTGTAGTCCTCAAAACCCTTTCCCGGACAGAATCCTGGTTGTTCTTTGCTCACGCTCTCACACGTCCTCCCAAGACGACGTGAAATCAGCGATGCAAACAGTCTGGTTATTTTTCATAGTCTTTTCGGGTCGCGTTTTGCTATTCGGTTTCATATTCTTGTGCGTCTGTTTGAAGAGTCTCTTCGCCAAGTTATTCTTCCTCAAGGAATCCAAACGACCTGAAGGCGTAAGAGAATTTTGGTGGTTATCTGCAGGTTCCAGGTTGTTGAGGGTTCCATCAATCACCACTGAATTTACTGAGATTGATGTATTTGGTTGACGTTAGAATGTATTCCCATACCAAGTGGTGCAAATATTGTCGGTGGTTGGATATGTTTACAAATTGTCTTCTTACAATGCGGCTCATACGACGACCCCGAGCTTCATATCACCGACTGACCGTCACCACGGGTCGGATTGTTCTGACTATTTGGATATGAAGTACTGTATGCTATTCGTCGGCCTCATCAGAGTGCGATCTATGATCACGGAATCTAACGCGGCCCGTGTTTTCATTCCAATGGGGTTGTCTGATGTTGTCTTGTGAACGTGTTATCCACAAGTGTGTCGGTGGTAACGTGAATTACAGTGGGTCGTAAATTTTAAGTTTTTTGCTATAACTACACAATGTTCTTTAACCAGAATGCTAGAAAAGCATAAAATGACTTATTTACCTATTCATCCGTGTTTTTTCTTGCCTTCAACACAGCTGGTTACGAAATATATCTGTGATCCTTTTCTTGAACAAACAAGATTTGCTGACCGAAAAAGTCCTTGCAGGCAAATCCAAGATTGAAGTTTATTTCCCCCATTACGCTACCTATCAAGCTCCCGCGGATAGTAAGTGGTTTTCTTGCTAATGTCAATAGTTTTTTGTCGACGAAGGCAAGTTAACTTGACTGCTGCTCTGTAATTATTTAGTGCTTGACTGTTCATGCTCCTCACTGATTGTGGGACCGAACCCTCACGAAACTCAGTTGCCACACGAAGCAGCTGTAGCGTTTCCTTCTAAGATCAGTGCACCTCAGGAAAACGGTATTTTGGCCTCTTCTGTGAAAGAACTTTTGTCCATTTACATGTACCTCACAGTAAGTCATAGCTGACAAGGAGCTTCTTTTTGGCCACTTCACAAGAGTTTCTGCTGTGAGGGGGTTACTACTTTGGGGATGTGATCGTCCCAGACAACAGTTTAGTTCCCCTAATGTTTCTGAAGGTCATTAGATCATAGTAATCATGATGATGTTCGCTGATTTATATCAGATTACTTTCCAAACCACTCGGAGTACCGAAGTTGAACTGTCAGTGTCAGTTATCCAAACGCGTGACCGTCTTTACATAGATGTGTCTGTGAGAGATGGATAGGTAACTGTGAATCATCCTGTCATGTTCACTGGCCACGTAAACACTGGACCTTGTCGGGGTTTGACAATTTGTGTGCCTCTGCCATCCATCGAGCTATACTGGGGGTGTCTGTCCGACACCCGCAGGGTCTTACGCCATATCGGTCAATGGTTAGAGGGCTGACAGTGCTGACAGCCCTTTGAGTTGGTGTTGTAACCTGCGTGGTGACTTGTTCTTCAAAACACCGCTGCCTTGCGGTCAAGCTTTTGAGCCATAAGTTTTGATAGAGGACTTTAATAGTCCCCCTCCCGCCTGGGGCGCCCTGTCAGTATTCCAGCTCATAGAAAAGCATGAATTGCACATGTTCATCCTCCCTAGTTTGGATGTTAGAGAATCGAAAATGTTCGATTAAATTTGGGGTAAAAGAATACAGTATATATTCAGCAACAGTATTCTGGGGTGTTACGAATGAAGTCAACAAGTGCTAAAGTGAAATTGTGAAAAAACTGGCTCCCTGCAAGCATGGAGTATGGGCTTGATCAAAATCAGTCTTGTAGCCGCACTTTACACTTTACAGGTGTGAAGCGCATGCCAAACAGTACGGTCGTTATTTATGTTAGTAAAAATGGTGAATATACACTCATTTGCATCCAGGTCAGATCATTACTTTTGAGCTGCTGAAACTTATCGAAGTTTATGAGTGGAACTGTTCTACCTTGGCACACGGAATACTGAAGGAAAGCGAAGTAATAACCAGACTCGCACAATCGCATGATCAACGTCAAGGGAGGACAATCTTTAATTGACGCCCTCCATCAGTAGCTGATAGCCACATGGTCCAATTGAGTCCATGCCTGTCTTGCGGTTGGTGGCCTTCATGTAAATCGATGTGAGTATTTTATTGGAAGTTCGTACTGGCCAGGAACAGACGATGATCAGTACTCAACTGAAGTAGTCGCTCTCCATTATCCATACGTTGAGAATTGACTCCAAGTCTGCCACGTAACTATGCTTCTTGCGAACCTAGTCAGCCAACTTGAGCGTTCATATCACTCGCCAGGATTACTATATCCGTCTTTCTTGGCGACCGAAGCACTCCTGAGAGTTCTTGATAAAATACTTCCGAAGCCTCAGAACTGCTGTTTGTTTGGGCGTGTCCCGATGCAGCGACTAAACACCGTTTGCCGCATCGACCCGCGTTGATCTCCGTCGAGCCAGCCCAAAGATAACTGTTCACTGTGACCCAGTGTTTTCAGCCGTAGAGCTGATTGCATCTCCAACACTACGAGTCGTTGCGTCAGGGTCACCAGGTACCCGGAGAGTGAAATGTTGGGCACCTGAGCTCGAGGGGCACGACGTATGCAAGGTCTTGTATGCGTGTCTCGGAGACGACACATCGACAGAGGGGGGAAGCAAGGTTTCACCAAAGGATACCTGTTGTCCGATGTGACATAGAGTACGGACTACAACGTGGATCAGATCTTTTGGGGTTACTAAGTGATTATTCTGGCTCATTTTCCTGGGTGACGGTTTAGACACGAAGCAATAGCTAGGGCGGTGGCAAATGAGTTGGTCACACTGCATCGGTCAATGGGGAAAGGCCAGTGAGTCAAGAACTGCAAGGGCAAATGATAATTCCCGGTTTCCCAAGCTTACGAAGGGGGTTGGTCAAGGTACCCCACCTTGAGCCTTTGACTCAAGAGTTTGACCCCCATACAGTGTGAGGATGTCGGTTTTTTGTTCGGGGACCGTGACTCCATCCTCTGACTCAAAAACTCGACCCACGATGCAGCGAGTAGTAGGGTTTTCTTGAAGGAACGCTCAGCTGTTACACCCTTTCGGTACTTAACTGCCATGCTACCCGAAGGAAGCACGAGGGCTGAGATACTGTCAGTTTGCCCAATCGTATACAGTGGAAGTCGAGAGGTAGAGGTCGGGTTCGAACCACGGATCTTCTGGTCAGTAAATTCGCGCTCTAATCACTCAAGACATTTCGCCTCCGGATCCAATGAATCAATAGTGTGATCCTTTTGGCTGTAGGGGGCCGGTCTAGCTCTACGACGCAGGGAGTAACACATCACTCTCACTCCTAGTACAGCAACGCACAGCCGGTACATTTTGAGCAGCACCGAACTTTTCGGTTTTAAAAGTGTTTGTATCGTGTTGAATAATGCGTCGGCCGTCACTGCCAACCGCTACTCGATCGGACTGCGCAGTTTTCAGGACTAATCTCTAACCTGTCCTTCCTCGAAGGAAGGTGGCATCGCTGCTTACATAAGTATGGATATGATGGTCGCCTGGGGGAAACGCCTTTCTGCCTTACTCTGCCTTATCGCACAGGACACTATGACTTTTCCTCCAAGGTGCCTCGTAATACGTACCCTCGCAATGCGAGGACTCGCTCTTCTTCGTTGGGCTGTCTCACTTTGGCCCCGCTGACATGAATGAACCTTAGAGAACTGTGTTCTTGCCAGTATAGCCCACAGGATCACTACAGCACGGAAGCCTAACCAACACGACAAGGTGATAGCTTTAGATCCAAAGCGAAATAGAGCGCTGTGATCGATAAAAACCGAAAAGGTGAATAGCATAGTTACCAGGACATTCTAGGATTATGGGAGTACCCGATAGAGTAATCGACTCAAGAGGTAATTAGATTGAGAAGAATAATGCGTTCTTGAGGAACACTTACGTGGATGAGAGGGTAGAACAAATTTGTTTCTTATAGAGTAGACCTTCCATCCAGTTTGTGGAGTCCTTTAAGTAACATTTGAGAAGCTATCAACAATGAAGGTGTCTGAAAAATTGTTTGGCAAATGGATGCACATGCTAGTGAGCAGAAGAATGTGACGATCCTCCGAACTGGTATTGCCTCTGGTTTAGTCGTTGCTTTTTCGGATTATTTGTTTGACCGAACAGCGTTTTTGGTTTCTAATTTTGTTTCTTCATTCGTTTTCGCGTTCCTCTCAGTACGAGTGGCGTCACAGTCTAAAATAGTCTGGTATTTCTGAACACCCAGCTGATGAAGATAATGGAAGTATGTGTGCACCAACCGAAGTCAGTTGCAATGTCCGTTAGACACCAATTTAATTGAAGTGTTGATGCGGGTAGAGGAATCTGATGGAACGAAGAAAGCTGTAGAAATCGGCGAAGCTGGTGCAGCTATGACGCGAGCTCGACCTCTCCTAGCGCAGAGAGAAGACCAGATTTTCAGAGGAGGGCTTTTACTGCCTCAATCAAGGGCGAATTACAGCGGGAGCGCTATCTTTTTGGATTGAGGTGCAACATAGCGGAAAAAACGCGAAATTTAAGAAGAATAATTTGGCAGTAACTCGAAAAATAAGCGGTTTTTGGGAATATTGACATTCGCAACGATACCCCCACGTTAATGTGATGCACATTTCTGAGAACACCGGACAAAATTTCGGTGGCATAAAGGATTATTGTTTCAGTTGGCGACAAGCGTCTCACGAGAGAAGTGAGTGCTCTCGCTTCCGCTCCAGCTGCCCCACAGAAGTTCGAAATCCCGGCAAAGCACTCCCCGCCGGTCGATATGGTGAATGTCTCCATCAACACCACAGAGGACTGTAAGAGTGCATCAGTTCTAACCACCAAGAAGTTCATCGTCACGAACTACAAGATTGATGTCGAGAAACTTGGCCCGCACATCCTCCGAGACATCGTCCATGCCGTCGAGAATGGTGTCCGCGCTGGTAACAAGGGCAAAAGTGCATCCGAGAGTCCGAAGATCGCAGAGAGAAGGACGCCGTATCCTTCAGCTGTAGCAACCTTTCGGTGCCTGTCATGCCACCAGAAGGGAGCACGCGGGCTGGGATACTGTCAGGTTGCCTAAGCCTAGACAGAGAAGTCGAGAGGTAGAGGTTGGGTTCGAACCACTGACCTTCCGGTCAGCAAATACGCTCTCTGATCACTGAACTATCTCGCCCATAGCCGCCGTAACTAAGCGTAAGGCTCCCAAGGCCGGGAATTCTGCAAAGTTCAGCATCGTTACTCAAGTTTCGAACAGTTTAGAGTTTGTCTGTGCTTTGGCTTGCCTGTCTTAACACTGTTGTTCAACATCGCTATTTGAGGCTTAAAACATCTGATTCTTTTTCCTATCTATCGTTCCCCTTTCGTAACAAGGGGAACCAACCGTAGGGAACTAAATTGTTCACTTTCATTAGTTGAAGATAATCCCATATAGATTATTAGGTTGCGGCTTTTCCTGGGGTTCTACTGTATTATTAAATTTTATTGACACGGTTAAGTAGCAGGTGGTAGGACATTTATCAGTGTAGCCGACGACGTAATTTATTTCGAGGTATACGTCAAAATTTCATTATACCGATCCAGGTTCGAGTGGGCGATGACAGAATTAGGCAGGAAAAAACGTGTTTCGCCATCTAGCTAATCGATAACAAATCTTTCAGAGCTGTGGAATTTAAAGTTACTGTGAACGACTGTTTCAATGACAATCGATAGTCGGAACTGGAAATATCCACTACGCCATTAACAACATGAAGGTACTAAATGCATCAGATCTACTTTCTGTCGTGGGATAATCAAGTTGGGGTAGAAAAAAGATTGACAGGTTGAGCCGGACAAGTTAAGCTACGCTGATTAGTGAATAAAAACACAACCCTCACTCTCGAACCGGAGGTTTTTGCTGTCAGCTAAGGCGTATATACTGTCAGTGGCGAAGTATCTAATGCTCCTGGGAATAACGCACTACTTATAAGCTTGTTAAAACTTCTAGTTTAGCTGGGCTGTCTCTCCCTGCGATATTGTTCTTATTTTAGCAGGCTGTCTGCCCACCTTTGTATGCTAAGAATACGTCACACGCCGCGGTGTTTCTCTGTATTGGTGGCAGTTCCACCAGTAGCTAAACATATTAATCATGAAAATCTCTGTACTTGTCCAAGCGGAACACGGGTGTTGGAGACGCCTGGTTCCGCCTTTTTTGGAGCCCATCAGGTAGGCGAGTCGTCAGTCCCTTACTTTACGCCAATCCCAATTGCGTGATCCCTCAAATACGCTCATCTTCAAGCTGATTTTACTTTGACAAGAAACTCAGCTTATTCCCAGATGAATCACCCATGTAAGATATTTCAGTCGAACACGATTTCGATGGAAATCCGGGTGCTGCGTCTACCAGACTAAGGTGAAACTGGTCGTTGGTTGTTGAAGGGGGTTTCAGCAACTTCATGATTAGTATCATCCGCCTAGATAGTCTGCTATCTGCGTCTAATGCAGGCGTTTGGTTACCTTCCGTGAGTTTTTTCACTAAAGGCCCGAATGAGCCTTTTTCTGTTTCTTCTGGCACGAGACGTCGTGGTGGATACGTTAAGCACACTTAATTGCAATCAGTTAAAAAAAGGCTTGGAACCGACTGAGTTTCGTAAATTTTGGTAACAATCGGTAGATTTATTGCTGGGCAACGTTTCGCTTTTGACTTAAAAGCTTCGTCAGGCATGAGAATCTCGATCGGTTTGTTTTTCGCACAACTGCTTACTCACAAGAGCAGTCTTGCAATGGGATCTCCAATGCCCCCAGTTGTAGCTGATATTTATATGGAGGGTATCATTGTCCACCAAAAGTCTTTCGCGTTATGTTAACGATACCTTTATTGTAATCAAGCGTGAATAGCTTCCACAACCATCTCAATAGTTTGAATCCTCACATCAAGCTTAGCATGGAGATAGAGTCCATCTCAGTCACATTACTCTTCCTGGACTATATAACGAGAAACCAACAGACGCAGGAACAATCTTCAACCACTCACCAGCACACTCAAAGTCCGTGTACGGCAGTATTGTCTCATCGATGTTTAGTCGAGTCGGAGTGCTGTGCACAGAAGAGATCGACCGAACAGCAGTTCAGGTCAAAATGGCCATCAGATTTCAATTAGTTGGAGATACCCAGTGAGTTTCATTAGGCTACAGTAGAGGATATTGACTCCGGTATCTAGACCCAGTGGGGATTGGCACAGCAGTCATTCCGTATAAAGCAGGAATATCGGAAGCTATTTGAAGACTGCAAACCTAAGCCAACATTCAAAAGGAAAAACCGTACGCTCCGTTTTGGTGCAATTGAAAGATCCCTTACCTGTTGAAAGGACTCGGGACTGCGTGTATAAATTTAACTGCAACGATTGCACTAAGGTTTATGTACGACAAACGGCCATGGAATCGCACATCAGAACTGGTGAGCATAAAAGGAGGATAAACAACCCCCCAAAGAATGTGGAAGAATACCAACCGCAGTCGAAGACTCAGCGGTGGTGGTACATGACTTAGACACGGGATATAGAATATATCTGGAGAATGTGGGTGTTTTAAGACGGGAGCTGCGATTCACACCACAGCTGCTGATAGCCGAGGCGCTGGAAATCACCAAGTATCATAGCATGAATAGAATCGAAGGTGTGGAACTGGCGAGCGTATAGAAGCGGTCTTAGACAAAGCGAGTTGACATGTGACTGTGTGGTTGTCAATGCGCGAGGAATCATTAGCAAAAACAGGGGGTGGAAATCCCTCACTGACCAAAGGTTAAAGAATCCCTCTTCCTTACTTTACTATCGTAGCACTAGCTCATCCATACAGACGGACGAAAAGTGCGAACGACGTTTAAGAGCGTTCATAATGTAAACCAGAAGCAGTAGACCTCACGCTGGACCGAAATCCATTTAGGCTCTCCCATAAACTCAACACTTTTTGACCCACAAAATCCCTTGGCAGGCACCTAACACAGATTTAACTTGACTTACCTGGTTGGTTCTCCTTCTTCCATAAATCTTGGCCAACCTCGTAACCTAGTCACCCGGCCTGACGAACCTTTGTGTCAAAAGCGAAACGTTACCCAGCAACAAATCTACTGATGGTTACGATACATTTCCGAAAACCACACCTAATTTCAGTTTTTGGATGTCCTCTTCGAGAAGGTGATGAGGAAAAAAAGCTGAATATTTGGTTATGCAAAGTTGAGACGCTGAATGGCTTCTCAGGATTATTCGCCCCTGTTCTTCATCGCTAAGCCCGCACTGACGTGGAACACACGATATTCGTACTGTACAACAGTATGGATTCTTTCGGTTGTGTTGTCTTCCATGCGAATTGCTCAGAGCTCTATGTCAACAAGTCCCTGGCAAGTCGTGCTTGATATTTATCACTGTAATGTAATTCATCCTTTGTTCGTCATCTCCAGAACTCTGCCTCTTTCATACTCCAGTGCTTCCGAAGGTTGATTTCAGTGCATCCACTTACTCCACAATGCCGTGAGCGTTTTTTCGCATGCTTCCTTTCATGGGCTCGTTCGCGTGAAGCTCACTTTTGTCTGTACCAGCAGGAGAGTGATAATTTATTCGATGTGCTGCTGCCACTAAACAGTCTCCTTTTCTGTTCACAGCCCTAGCCGAATATCATCACGATAACCCGGAAGTGGTTCGTGCCCGGTTCTTTTTCCGTGACGAGTTCCTTGTAAGTCGTATAGTTTATCAGCAGAGTTACGTTATAGCTATTTTTGTGTTGATAGTCTTTAGCGGAAACCGACACACTTATGCTTCCAAAACTGACTGACCCTAATTCTAAACAGTTTGCGTTTGTCTTGCAGATCCTTGACTCATCGAGACAAACCAGTCATAGCATTTGCAATCTGGGTGAGCGATTGGTATCCTAAACGGAATTTTTTCGACAGCAGTGGCTCAATTGCTGAATGCTTAACTCTGATTGAATGTTTCCAGCCGGTTTCAGTAGGATGGCACAATAGTGGTCGTTACAGCATAACAGAATTCCCACCCGATGTTCAGCTGTCATGGATCATAACCTTCTGTCACTGCCTACAGTAGAACGCTTAGCACCATTCTTGAGTCAGGGACGCCTGAATATGCTTTCCGCATTTGAGTACGATTACTATTGCTAGTATTATTATTAAGGACCCGCAACTGTTAGCAGTGGCTGAAGGTTTAATTGCAAATGGGGAAAGTAATTTCGATCTAAGTGCAGTTGTGCGCGAATCTGGATCTGCTGTTCACTTTGATGATGGACATTTCAACCGCACCTGCCAAGTTTGTTCGGTGTAAACCTTGGTCGCATTGACCCGGTTCTGCACTCAACCTTCAAATTTCCATGTTAACTTTGCTGATTTAAATTTACTGATAACGGTTGTTTCCTAATCCTATTTGTAATTAGCTGTAGCCTTTCAGTGTTGTTTTTCTTTAGTACCTTAGTACTCGATCGATGTAACTGACAAATCTTTTTGCGTTCCTTATTTTGTTTTTCAGAGAGTAACGTCAAACAACAACGGTGGTCGTCACTATTGTTATCCACATCTAACGTGTGCGGTGGACACAGAAAACATTCGACGTGTCTTCAATGACTGTCGAGATATAATCCAGCGAATGCATCTCCGACAGTATGAACTTTTGTGAATCGTTGGCATTAATCTGGCTGTGTTTGCTTCTTTGTGTTCGAACGAAGCAGCCGCAAGTACAATCTCCTAGACTGGATCTACCCCACCTTTTCCCTTATGCACTGCTGTGACTATTCACAAAAGATCTAGCCACTACGACTTTATGGTCTCCGAAGAACCTGTTTCCCGGCCCGGCCAAGCCTCAAAATCGGTGTTCCAAATACCTTTTGGTCAATGCTCAAGCCCTTTCGCTTTCCGAGCAGATCACTCTCGTCGAATCCTGTTCTCTCCATATCTCAAGTTTTGGACTTTTCGAATACGATATGAAATCTCGTCCGTGAGCTATTAACTGGCTCTGGTGGTGTTACTGTGTTACTCACTTTCCGTACCACCCGTCATGGTCTTTCGCTTCGGCAACTCACACATGCTTTGGCATCCCAGTCTATCACTGCCACTCTGTTCAATTCTTTCTAGGTCTAAAATCCGATCCGTAGCATTTCCTACCTCATGTGATTCCTTTGGCCAGGTCATATTCTTACACACGTGGTATCGTTGTGGGCAGACTCCCTGGTCGACGGTTTACATGGGCTGTGTACATCTCCATTTCGGTTCCTCTGCGATTTCGTCGCCAGATTTACTCCTGCTTAAGGTTTTCATTGTCATGCGTCGAATCTGGTTACTAGCGGCATCGATTCCCGACCGCCAGGTGCCTCCAGACCCATCGAAGTTCAACTAGCCTGTTTTTTAATTATATTTTACGTTATCAGTTTCAACATCAACTATTTGGTTTCGCATGATTGTTATTCTTTTCTCTCTGTTGTACCGGCGAACACACTGTCTGGCGCGTTTTCACACCACCACTGCGTTATGTTTGCCACGTTCATCGATATTAATTTTGCCACTGGCGCTCGTTTTTCTTTTTCTTTGAATTGTTTCCCTGACTTGCTTTTATTCGTAATTTGCCAGTTATCAGTTCTCTCCGCTTTTTGTGCCATCGAACAACTTCCAGAGAGCGCGACTACGACGCATAGGTATGTGTTTGTTTCCGTGCATCCTTCCATTCTTCGGTTGTCAAACCAGACCTACTCTGAGCACCTCCCCTCACCCACTTACCCGTCGCCACTGTACAGCCAAAAATGTGTTTTGGACTGAAGCCTAAGTCAATCGTGACCGTTTTTCATTGTAAAGAAGCGCGACTTGCGAATCACTTGGAGAAAATTCTGTTGCATCTGAACACTGCCTAACTAGTTATACCAATCAAAGTGTTTGATCTGCTTCTCGTGATATGGTCAAGTAGTTTGGTTTCGATAAATATTTGTCCGTTCGCCACTATTTTCTATTATTTGCGCTTCATATCCATACACACCGTACCACCATCAAGTTTATATTTATATATTGGCATTACTGTTTTGAACGGTCCTTTGCCCTGTCCCCCTGTTGCTATCATGATGATTAACGCAGCGCTGCTTGACAACGTTGCTGCATTGTGGGTTAGATTTTTCGCACAACAAACTTAACGTACGCCTGCTCTGAGAATTTGATTTTCTCTGGGCCATTGTTGGAAGGTAATTTCGCCGTCAAAAATCCAGTTTTGACGCAGTTAGTCGCATCACATGTTCAACCCCAGAGATTCCATCCTTCGTCAGTCCACGTCTTCACTCGTTATTAACTAACCGTTCCGTTACGTTATAGAATCTATCTCATACCTTGCAGGTCTACACGGTGTAATTTCGTTCCAGAGGTTGCAGAAAGCTTACTTTCGAGACATCGTATTCCCCTTAAATAAAAAACCAAGTTCTTAGCTTCCCCTCCACCGCAGATTACACATTCGGGGACTTCAGAGTATGCTTTTCCATTGGTAGTACACGATAATTGATCGCCCCTTATTAAAGAGTTACTTTGTGTATGCCCTCACTTTCAGCTAGCCTTAGGCGATTAAACGCCATCGCATATAAATGCTCATTTTCCAATTCATTCGCCAAGGAAGAATACTCATTGACTGGTCTGAATGAGGTGAATTTCTCAACAACAATGAAATGAAGGTTTAAAGTAGCAGGATATCGCAGATGCAGCTTATCAGTGGTATCACTTACGTGGTACAGATACCAGGTAAGGAATACAGTTTTTAAAAGATAGAGGACGAGAGAACGGGCTCATTTGATCAATCAGAAAACGCTTGAATCATAAAGGTTACCGTTGCATGAAGTTACTCAGCGCATCCTTTAGACTGCATCGATTGCTCATCAATCTTTTAAAAAAACCTTCTGTTTACGCGCTTGGTCAACCAATGTTCCGACGGATGAGCAAGCACCCGAATGTACATTTCCGAGGGTCGAGAGACAGGCCATCGTAACTAAGCCATTCACTCAACCCGAGTCCGATGTGCCTCATTTGTTAAAGCGCGAGTTTACTGACCGGAGGATCCATATTTCTAACCCGACCGCATCTCGGCTGCTCCTGTCTAGGCTTGAGCAATCTGACAATATTCCAGCCCTCGTGCTTCCTTCAGGTGGCACGGCAACTAGGTACCTGAACGATAGACTTTCTGCATAACTTCCCCGTCAGCCTGAACACACCATCTTCGTCAGTGAGGTGCTGCTCACATCCATGACCAACAACAAGCAGTCGTGACTTTATGCACATGTGATCCACTACTCGATAAACGTCGACAGCCCGCGATTTGCTTCGCCGTTATTGGAGCTCTTCAGGTGGCACAGTCCCCAAAGAACGAGTGTATTTGTCGAATATCATGTAACGTGGGATCAAAAGTTTGCCAGAAACTCGGAAACTGCGCCCAACCGACCATCCCCAATAAGGGCAAAATCGCTTATGGGCCGTCGAGTTTTCTGCAACCTTATAACTAATGTCTTAACTCTGCAAAGTCTTGCGATATCTCAAATGTAGCAACATGAGCATCAGGCTTCCTTGTGTAACACATTCAGTTGCTTAAGAACATCATAAACGAGAGATTAACCTGGATTCCAGGGGAGTCCCGTCAAAGCCAGTTTGGTATTCGGGTGAATGTCATCATCGACAACACGACATCAGTGTTCATCACCGATTCTTTGCTGTCGCACAACCATGATTTAATTGAAAGCCTTTTTGTGAAGAAAAATGAATGTGGACGGGAAAGGGACTGATTTCTAGTTTACTGCAATCATTCCGAGGTGCCTACATCTCCAGGCATTCATTCAGTGGATAGAAACATACAGCGAGAATGCCACTAACATCGGTTGGTAGGCAACCGGGTACAACGGGGATCACGCGGTCCCCATACTTGAGTGCATTTAGCACCGACAGCACCCAGGCTATTTGAACGCCGCGGTTTTGGAGACCGCTCAGCGTTCGTCTCATGATTTCATCGGTCACGAAGTTCAATAGGGATGGAGATAGTGGGCATCCCTGCTTTGTGTGCGGAAGCTATGAAGATCCCTGCGTATACTCTCACGTCCTGAAGTCTGAGAATACAAAGAGCTTATTAGGTTCACAAACTTCCGGGGCATTCCTTGGTGGGCAAGCGTGTCAAGCAGAACTAACCGAGCTGAATGCGCCTTAGAAATCCAGGAACACTAGAATTGTGGGTCGCATATACGTATAATGTTGTTCTGGTACGTGACGGAATGTGAAGATTTGGTCGATGGGATTAGTGTGTCAACCGTTACTTCGTCTTCAAAAATCACTATTCCCGTATTAGTTCGCGGTACCGTCACCAGCAGCTCCTCGTTGCGCTTCGTTGACTTGGTTTTCTTGGAAGCCTGCTACTCTACATAATCACGATGACTGGGTGTGGCCATCTTATACGCCCTGTGTACGACATGCCGAGTTGCGTTCTGATAGGTTTTGGGTAATGTGAGGTTGATTAGTACCGGGTTAATACCTCGAATTCATCCATTAGTTCCATGCGTGAACATACGGAGACCAAGTTGCTGGAAATGAAACTTTTTGTATACGGATTCCAGGACGTCTCATTCATCATTGTTTCATGGTTCCGCTACGAATGAGGACCATCCATAGTAGCCAGTGACTTCTTCATCAGTGGAGGGATCAATGATTCACCAATCTAATTTACAGCTAGTTGACCTTTGATCTTACTTTTCGGAAGATGCTACTGTGGGTTTCAAAGGATCCTCGTATTCAAAGTCGTTTGCAACTACAAGGGACAATAAACAATGTCGTCTTTGATCGAAATGCCATGACTCCTTCCCGGTTTAAGTGTCAGTAGCTTGTTTGTCTCAATTTGCGAATCCTATTCCTCCAAGATTTTCGCTGGGATGCGCTGGAATTTCTCCATCACAGCAAGATTATCCTCAATGTATGTTTCGCTTTGTTGAGGTGTCTGGTTCCGATCGTCCAGCCTGACAGACTACATGATCACTATCCTGCAGTCTGGAAAACTAAAGTGAAATATTTATACGCCAGTATATCTTCCACTTATGAGGTCACCAGATTGATGGTATCCATGCGCTGTACCCGTCGTATTACAGTAAATAGAAGGAGAAGTACCATCTTGTTTACGGACTTGACAGTTCATAGCAATATGTTGCGGCAAGATCTTGCTGTGCTGAAATTTGTTCGAGCAGGTTTTGCTCTCAGTTGCAGGAAAATTCAGTCTCGTCTGGAGATCGCTCACGCAATCATTCAGGGTTTGCGGCCACCCCGGATCACGCCCGATCGCGTTCTTCAAGAAGCTGCTTTGGTGGTAGTTTTATGAAGTGCCGCATTAGACTGACTCACGCAACCACCACAGTGAAACCCTTCAGAAGAGTGTACTCGTTAGGACAGGAAATTTTCCCAACTGTCGAATGTCCCTTCAAAGATTTTGTGGACGATGACCCAATAACAACCAACGCATTCACCCAAATAATCAGGCAATGAGATTCGAGCTTGAAGGACTTGCAACATTACTACGTTCTCATGTTGTTCAATGCCAAGACTATATGGCTTATCAAATTCCTTTCCGAAACCACGAGACCTCTGATACGCATCCGACTCGCCTTCAACATGGCTTACTCCCACCCTCATAAAAAAGTGGCCTTTGTCAGTATTTTACCCCGGTAACATGATGTCTAATTTGCTTCCCTGCATAACCGTTGATGGCATGTTCTGATGGAATTTGAGTCTTACGAGTTAGAAATTGGTAGCTGTGAAACCCTTGTGCACAAGTGACAGTGTTCTATCATTTCAAAGATGAGGAGGTTTTCAGATCTTTGTATTCTGCTTTGCGTTTCATCCTCATTCGGTATAGCCATATTTAATCCACCTTCGTTCCACTTTCCCAGGACACTATCTCATTTTCCACAGAATGCACTTTACTGATTCATGTCTATTCAACAGTGTCTCATGACCAGTCGACTCGCTTACCATCTAAGAAGTTGGCGTATCTTACCTGACATAACACTATCCACTTGAATGATAAGAATCCCTGAGTAACCCACTGCAGGTTTTGTCCTTACTGGAGCTTGTCAGATTGACCTAGTCCCCACATTTTGACTTGTCTCATTTTTTACTTGATTACCTGACTGGCTGTATGAGCAGATGAATATTTCTGCAAGTGAAACATGGGGCAGGTTTTCTACAGCATATTCACCTGTAGGACATCAGAAACGGCTTTTTTCATCTGAGGTTGGATTAAGTCCGATATTAACAACAAAGTATGCGTAGAAGAAACATGTTCCTGGCTCCATTTTTCTTCCTATCCTCCACGCAAGTTTTTTTCTGTCGGTGAATAGCGATCTTTTCGATTAAAACGGTCGTTGTCCGCTACCTCTGGGGATGATTACTTAACTGTTGACTTTATCGCATTATGGATGGCTTCATCATCACCGTCGATTGCGAAGCAAATGGTGGTGGTTAACTGGTTGTGTCGAATGAGACTAGAGTTCTCAACCGGAACTCCTCACGGATCTTGACCAAATAGCAGCGCCGGTTATTGTAATACTAGTGGGTTGAACTACCCTTCTAAGAACAACGTGCCCTGCATTTTCTGATCCATAACCCGAAGTGCCAGGGTACTATGTCACATCCCAATCCATCGACCAATCTAATGGGAGAAACTGGATGCTGGAGTGGCACACTGCAGTATAGCTCAGTGGGTTGGTTAGCTCCGCAAACCGCCACACCAGGGTAAAGTTCAATCTCTTCGCAGAGGCCTTGAAAAACCAGTCTTCAAAGCCCAAGAAGACGGTGTATAATGTCGGCCGAAGTTCAGTTTGAAGCAAGCCACATCAACAAAGCCTTGCATGTCGATTCCTAACTGTCAACAGCCTATATGAGTGCGAACGTGGATTGCTCACTTCTATTCAGCTGACGATCTGTAACAGGGTTCAAACCTTATGTGAATGAGGGGGAACACTAGCCTGAAGCGTTGTAGCTCGTTTGAAACGCGACTGGGGCAACCCAACCCCCAAACAAAAGGTCCTCTGGTCTCTCCTAGGGAGTGGGATTGCTGGAAGGTAGCTTGTAGGAGTTGGTGTCTGTGCACAGTGTCGCGGAAAAGGAACAGAAAAGGTTGTGAGACCTGCCAAAATTAGTTTATCAACGAAATACGCAACGGTCTTCGGCTGAGTTTGTCCCTTGGTAAACATGTGTTGAACCTCATCCGGAACATTTGTATTTTTAGAAAGTTTTTGATCGCTCAAAGCAAACTGCTGGGACTATTCAGTGTCCCTAATATCGATTTTCACCATAATGTGTGATTTTTTTACTTGTTTTAGAGTAGTTTTTTAACGGTAAGAATCTTCCGTAACGTCCAACCTCACCTTAGCACAAGTGATTCCCGAATCAAAAACTCACCTCGACCCCTGATAAAAATTCGCACTATCTTGGAGCGTCGTCCGCACTTCGCCCTTAAAATGGTCGACTCGCGAGAATCGGCTTCCATCTTGTTCTGATCAACACTTCTGGCATTTTGCTTTATCCACCTTCAAGAATGACTTGTCCAGGTCTTAGCCACCTAATCGCAGAGAAGTACTCTTGAAATCCAGCTGTAATTGAAGCCTTTGTTACTCGTAATCTGTCTGCGGTGATTTTGTTACCGATGTCTTGATGGCGTGGAAGTTCGGTACTTCAGTATTTCCACGACGAGAGGCTGCCTAAGTAAGTAATTAACAATCAGAATCGCTGGAAAAGCAATTCAGCCTTATCAGATTAAAGTGACTAAGACGTGTATGTACTATGCGTGCCCAATCACATCTACCAATTGAAGTACTACAGAGAACAATCCCTGACATGGCAACGTGAAATGAATATGACTGTTGTTAAGCTGTTTTCTGGGATTGTTGTGCTTTCCTGGCAGGTTTCATTTGATTCTCCTTACAGGTTACTGGATACACTGCAAGAAGTGACCTATCCCAGTGGCGAGCGTGCTATCACTTTCCGGTTGAGGTGTCTAGTCAATATTTGCTTCGGGACGCTTGGCAGTTTCTCATCTGCATTCTATTAAACATATGATGCGAGCCCAGACAGACGAAGTCTACCAAATCATTTTGCACCTATTTTATTGGTTACAGTCAATATAAACTTTCAGCGAAAGTCAGCTCAACAGCTTGGTTAATAACCCACCATACATAAGAATAATTAGAAGCAAGGTTTGAGTAGCAGAAGCTTAAAATCTGGCCCAGCCATTGGTTGCCGCAAAACAAGGGTTGCTAGGAGATAAAGCAAAGCAAACTGGGTGTCGGTTCTGCTGCGCACAGTAAAAACGTCAGGAGGCATTTCCGGTCCCGTGCAATGGATGCTTCACCGATGGCGTCCGCCAAAAATTTAACTTCGCAAGAAAAAACGATGGCTTTGTCTATGATTGTGCCAGTCGCCTAGGCTGTCCACACTAGTGACTTCAATCTGTCATTGCAGGTGGAAACGAATTCGCACAGAGAACACTTCTCTCGCTCTTCTTAAATTGATTGCGGCAATCGAACTTTCCCGGCATTTTCAAACGTGAGTAATATAGCCCACGGAACCGTTACGACCAGGTGGCACTTCTTGGCCTGATGGGGTAATGATGCAAAGCTCACTTGTTTTAATCACAACAGTTTGTTGTACAGCTCATTCCGGCGAAAACAGAACCTCCTGTTGTGATCAGAAGCAACCGTTTGCCAGAACAAACATACGTCTTCTAAAGGAAGCACCTGTCTTAGCGCAATAGGATACTCCAGATTAGTTCGACTCAACCCTAAATTAAATTCCTACCGCAGCAACCGCGGTAAAGATGCCCACGGGTTAATTTTGATTGAGCATCACAATTCGGCATTATTACCCGATGCTTATATCCCCGTTTTGAATAGACTGGAACCTACCGACGGCCAACGTTTCGTGCATCTCTATAACCATTGAAATATATTTGGGAGGTACGGGTTGACACTCGCAGGCCCTTCATAGGAACCTACCGACGGCCAACGTTTCGTGCATCTCTATAACCACTGAAATATATTTGGGAGTGTACGCGTGACACTCGCAGAGCCCTTCATACCAGGTTCTTCAGTGGGCACCGGTTTGACTAACAGTCTCCTGGTCATCCAGGTTGAGATTGTAACATGTGTGGTGACTTACTCCTTAGGAAGGTAGGCTATAACCGTCTTAAGCCAACTACTGCTGCCTTGTGGTAAGACATTTAAGCCAAAAGCTTCGATTGAGTATCCTAATTGTCCTCCTGTCTAGGCCTGATAATATCCCACCCTAACCATCAACCACACGTTTAAAACAATCACACTGGCAATGAGGTATGAACCCAGTACTCCTCAAAGAGCAAACAGTACCGCTAACGCTGGTTTCTCCCAATCTATCGAAACTTCGCCTTTGAACAGGGTTTTTTATTATGCAGAACCGATAATTTCCTCTACAGGTAGTCATTTTATGTCCGGCCATCAATTACTTGGCGAACTAGAAATCGAAAGCCCTGAGACTGCTGAATTTTGATAGGATCAATTATTGGGGAAGTTATTGTCAGTGTTTGGTTGTGCGCCCCTCGATTGGTGACGAAAGCTTCACAAGTTACTTGCCAGGTGGATAAATCAACTACCGTCAGAGGACACTGAATATCGATGCGTGAGCTCGGACACAATTTTTGAAGAAATGCAATTTGGTTAGGTGTTAGGCGGAATCCCGCGCCAAAACCGCCTTAGCAGTCTCATTTAGGCTATCAAACATAACCCGCGCTCGTTTGGTCAGAAGATCGGGCCGCTTACCAGTCTATCTCTGATTGGTGGAAAATTTGGACCCAGCAGCAAATCCTGATTCAGTACCCGCCGAATGCCGGTTTCCAAAGCCGCGACCACAAGGCCTTCGTAGTTTCCGGAATGTTGTTACCTCACGCATTAAATGACGAGCTGTATGTGTGTTTTTGACCTGGCGTTGGGCGTCTAATACAATTTGTGCACCCTTGGTGAAAAACATTGGCGCCATTACAGTGAGTGGTGGGTTTTTATTCAAAACCCGACGTCATCTACTCAGTTTGGTTAGCTTCTGGACAACTATCTTCGCGTTTCTATCGCGCTGATCCAACACATCGTTTTCGTTATTGAGCATCAAGCTGACCACTTAATGTCGAGCGGGTATTTTCCAGCAGAGATTTCCCCTTCGGCGACCATCTGTTGAACCAAGACAGGAACCACCCTCTCGGTGTGAATTTGCATATACAGACCAGAAATAATTGCAAGGTTTCACCCATAAGGTTTGGCTTAACTTTGAATTTGCCAGTGAATACATCTATCTGCCACCAGACAACCAGATCCCACGCTGTCCCTGTGAGAGTTGGTTTTTTGTGGGGTGAGTGCGGAAGTTTACGTTCAACACGGTTGCAAGTATCTCACAAAAGCTGTCCGCAAAGCAAAACAGCGCATCGAGGTCGCAGACTGTTGTCTTTTGGTTAGACCCTCGCATGAGCCCAGATCAAAGATTTCACCTGGCTTATGATCCCGTCGTCTCTCTTTGGCCTCATACCTGTACCTAATCAAGACACCCAGACCTCATAGCGAACCGCCTGCTCTCAATTCGATGGCTAGGATTTCGTTTACTTAGTGTAAGTTATTTATTAAAAGCTGATTTTTGTGGTTCCTCGCCTTCCTTGCCTTTCAAACCGGAAAAATTCAGTAGTTCAATACCACAGTTCTGTTTCTCTGATTTGTTTGTTTTATAATAGAATGTTTCGCGTCCGATTCTTTCACTCCATGCTGTATCAAGGTTGGAACCACTAAGCGCCAATCCACAGCTTCTATGTCCTTAGCTGAACGTTGGCTGATCCTGCAGTTCGGGTTCGGATGCATGAATTGGACATGGTTTGCCTGTCAGCCTGGTTGGGATTTCCGGATAGATATCAACCTCGGTATAATGGCAGAGGTCGTTCTGATGATTTTCCTCTGCTCAGTCTGGGAACAAAGAAGACACCGTTTGCCTTGAGACATTGAAAATATCGTTGTCAATAGGTAGTTAATGTGCGAACATGCTATATCAGACATCTCAGCTGAAGTCAACCGTGATACTGTGTTCAGCTGAGACTAATATGGTTGATGTCGAAGGTTTGTTTTTCGCAGTCTGGCGGTTGAACGACTGGTATCCAGCCTTGGAAATATCGGTGAACTGGAGGCTATTTGTTATCATAAGGGGTGAGGGGATTACACCCGTATGTTGTGCTAACAAGAGGATACTTTGCTGCCTAGTTGGTTAAGCGCCAATGAAACCTTCAAACTAAGGAATAAAAAGGGAAACGAGTCATCGCTATTCCTACATTCATGAGGATGATCAAGCACCTTCTTACTGTCAAGGTTTGGAAAGTTTATTGACAGATTATCGTAGCTGAGCTGTAGTGTCGCTCCAGTGATCGCACGCAGCAGCCTGTCACCATTATCACACCTGAAGCCTGATATAGCCGATAAACTGTAATTTCAAAGAATGTATCGAGAATTCGAGTGCGTTAGGGTAACTACCAATCGCGTCTCTCTACCAACCTTGTCAACAGAGGGTAGTTTTTGAGTGCTCGTCAATTTAATCTTCCTGATTCACATTGTGTCAAGGATAAGTAAGATCGCGACGGTTATCGGGAAAGTCTTCTCGCTGAAATGTTCATTAAGACTTTTTAGAATCACCGAAAACCTGGAACTTTTACTCACTCGGATAGGGATAAGGGGTGACGGCAACATGAACTATGTTTATTTGCCTCATTTATTTCAAAGCTATGTGTTCTTATGACGAAGAGATCTGTATTTGGAAGACCCTTTATGATGGGGACTGTTAGTTAATTTCAAAGAATGTATCGAGAATTCAAGTGCGTTAGGGTAACTACCAATCGCGTCTCTCTACCAACCTTGTCAACAGAGGGTAGTTTTTGAGTGCTCGTCAATTTAATCTTCCTGATTCACATTGTGTCAAGGATAAGTAAGATCGCGACGGTTATCGGGAAAGTCTTCTCGCTGAAATGTTCATTAAGACTTTTTAGAATCACCGAAAACCTGGAACTTTCACTCACTCGGATAGGGATAAGGGGTGACGGCAACATGAACTATGTTTGGCCCCATTTATTTGCCTCATTTATTTCAAAGCTATGTGTTCTTATGACGAAGAGATCTGTATTTGGAAGACCCTTTATGATGGGGACTGTTAGTTTAATTCAGGTTTTCTATACCGTCTTATTTTCTGGGATAATAACTTTTTACACACACTTATACGGGGTTGAAGGGTCCTCTGTGTGCAGCCTAAAAGTCCTTTTCAGTGTTCTAGATGTTTACGTTGTGCTTTCTGAGCTGAAACCCGTTTTATTTAATTAACTATTTTATAGACAACTGACGGTAGCTTTTGGAGGATGCGCCGTAGCACAAACGTATCAGATTTGACGACTCTGAAGGGTTATTTTATCATCCGAAGTGTGTCCCACGTGACCGGTGAGTCTGACAGATAGTATAAAGCCTGAACAAACTAGTAAAACAGTTCAGCACTCTATCCTTGAGATTCTAATTAAAGAGCAATCGGTAATCTCGCTGAATTATTATAGTTATGTTTTTGGAGAGGTCACTCACCAGATCATGCGTCACAAACACTCAAACCACGTGACAATTCTTGTCCCACTTGCAACCTTAACTGACAACATGAGCACTACAGCTTGCCATCCATTTTCGTTTACGCGGCTACCACCTGCGTCACACGCCAGGCTTACGAACTTCAACCACATCAGGTCAAGTTGTATTCATTTTCGTGCAAGCATCAAGCACGAAAGGACATCCCTCTCCTCACACTGCACACAAGTATAGGCATACAACTCGGCCCGACCTCACACACACTCGCTCCACAAGTCTCCACGGATAACTACAGAACGTGGGTAGCAGCCATAATGCAGAGAAGACACGTCCCGCGTCCGGATTTTACTCGGGGAACTCTCAACATGTGTCCTCAAACGATAAGTCACTTTTTTTATAGCTTATTCCACTTTTCTCATTGTATCTATTTTTATCAAGCGCACCTAACCGTTGTATTCATCAAGATTCATAAAAAATAGACATTTGTTAGTACTTCTTACATGTCGATAATCATCTTAATCACGTTACAACTACAGCACTAACATTTTCATCCCAGTGGTAATATTCGACTGCCAGGTGTTGTACACGAAATCCTTCTGCTCATGCCTAACCAGTGATCGAATGTACGATGAAGAAGATTCAGGCTCAATTCTGCCAGATTTAGGTGAAAAAATATTTGCTGAAGTTTACAGCGCTAAGATAATTCAAACAGGAACACTATTATGGGCGATCACATGCTATCAGAAACCCATTGGAGGGAAATGAAACGGAAGGATATATCAGAATGTGATGGATGCGAAAAAATGCAACGGTTGAACACAAGCGAGGAAACAGAGTGGGTTCACGGATGACGGAGTGCGATTTACTATAGCTGAGTTCAGTTGAACGCTGAATTATTGCGAGATGCTCCTGTTGCACTGTGGATGTTGCTCTGAATTTGGGTGTGGCATGAAATGAAGCGAGATATTTTTCAGCTACTGGTGAGCACTAATAAGTAGGCCACTGTGGAGGTAGTATTTTCGCCCGTGTCGGACGCACATGCGAGACACGTCCGTGCCAAGAAATTATTGTTGGATCTATAGTCGGAAAACACAATCAACGCCTTATGGGACTCAAATTTAAAGAACAAATATCTTAGATTGGGGCCAAAGAAACATAACAATAGCCTTTTCATTTTTTCATTCGTCTCGATGACGATCGACGATACAGCAGTGAAACACCATATCTGGTTCAGCTGTCCTGATTTACACGAAGCTCATTGACGTCCATGAAATTGAAAGTTTAACTTATTCAGAGAATTTCAGTAGACTTAAAAAGCCAGGTCGCATAGAACTGCATCTGCTGTGATGCCCGAGTAGTAAAATAATTTCACAGTAGCTCGGTTTGAGGATACCAATTTTTGGGAAGTAATCGCCGTGTACTACATTGGTAAGAGGGGTGATATGGCTCAAGTGGTTAGAGCGCCAAATTACTAACTGAAAGGCCCATGATTCGAACGCGACTTCTGCCGCTCAAATTCCTCTGTCTAGGCTTGGGCAACATGGCAGTATCCCAGCCCTCGTACTTCCTGCTTCCTGCTTTGATTTCTATATCGGTAAGCCACACATACCCAAGTAGTTCTGCACTGTTTCATTTCGGAAAGTTCCCGACAGAAACAAGTTAACTTCAACTTTTATCTGCCAGCTCTCAACCCTAATCATGTCGGCTTACACACATGTCTCATCACAAAACCTGATTTAGGGTTGACAATAGTCCCTTATCTTAAGAGACAACTGTCGTTCATGCAAGCCGATCAGCAAGTTGTCTTTGCATGAGAGCCGTGTGTTTTTAAAGAATATGTGAAATCCTCAATGAGCAACATGGAACGACAGTAAATTACTCGCAGGACGAAGTGCTCCGACACTGATATCTCCCTCCGAAACAGCGTTAGATCATGAAGCAGGAACTGTAATGATATGAGTCTGACAGGCTTGCGGTTCAGTGTACCTCCTGACTATAAACCGCATATGTTCACCGACTCATCCAGGAGGGGAATGCTCTTGGCGTCCAAAAAAAAAACGTTATTACCTCAAGATACCAAAAAGGGCAGTTTTCGATGTCGAGAAAAATGCCGTTGATTCTGTTAATCTAAAGCATCACTCCGAAATTTTCATCCTGTTTGAAACGCTGCATGCCTCTTTCATTGGGTTCCTACCGGTCTGCGGAGATAACTCGATCAATTCGGTCACTTTCCGTGGTGTCACGCGAGGCTTTATTTTTAGCCATTCTTCTTTAGGCTAATTAAATCTCCTGTGTCTTTATCTCATATAGCTGAATTTCTGTGGTGGTAATTAGTCACTGATTCCAATCAGGTGAACGATATTGCTGCTCGTGGATCAGTAAGAGATCAAGAGATCCAAATCACCTCAAAACGTTCAAATAATTCTGCTGAAAATGTTGCAACGCGTTTTCACATATTCAGTGAGTAAATCCCTAATGGACAACTTCACATCAACACCAATGCATTAGGCCAACCAATCGGTGTTAAAGATAGGTCTCTCTGACCGGGGAACATGTTGAACTGACCACTAAACCCACGGAAGCTAAAACAGATGTCTTCATCTTCAGCACGCCCGCAGTCGGTGTGACAATAGTCTGGTTGCCAAATACATAGTTCTTTTTGGATCAGAGTGGTGTCCTTCATGTGTAGGGCATAGGCTAAAGGCTTCAATGACTCGCCAAAACTGCCTCCTAAGCACTGTGCACGTGGTGTGGGAATATTGGATCAGTGATGTTAAGTTGACACAGAGGTTGCCTTAGAAAACTCTCTGCAAACAGTCCAGTCAGTTCGTTCCTTAACACCATGGGCCATGCTCTTCAGATGCTGGAAGTTGTCACCTCGTGGATTCCTTTCAAAAGCGCCCTATGTTGAGTGCAAGCGAACAAAGAGATTTGATTTGCTTTGCAAATTAGTGTATTTCTCGGAAACAGTCCAATTTGCGTTCAAGAAAAACATAAGGTTGCCGGAAACTGCGCCTACCTGATGAGCCCCAAGAAGGG